ATTTTTCTTGAGCAAGCAAGAAAGATGAACAGTCATCTCGGCGTAGTTGCGCGAGTACTTGTGTAAGTACGCCGCTAGCCCAAGGAACTTCCTTAGTCCCTTGACATCGACTGGCAATGGCCAGTAGGTGATCGCCTTGATCTTCTCGGGATCAGGGCGTACGCCGTGTTTACCCACGATGCACCCAAGAAGTGGTATTTCGCTAGCCGCGAATATACACTTCTTAAGGTTTGCGTACAACTTATTCTTGCGCATAGGTTAAAGAACCGACGAACGTGAGTTCTATGGACTTCAACGTCCGTCTTTCCGTCCATAGCCCGGCTATAGACTAACACATCGTCTAAGTAACTCGGTGCGAAGTCTCGCACCGGTCTCAACAGATTTGTAACACATCTGTTGAAAGTAGCAGGGGCATTGCTCAGCCCCTATGGCATCACTAGCCACTCCCACAGCATACCGCTGGGGGTGCTCACTGCTGTGTACGGGATGTCCCGTTCACGCATAAGGATCTGATAGAATCCATCCATCAGATCCATCGACGAAAAGATGGTACTCTTTGACATACCATCTATGATTACGTCCTTCCTCGGTATCGGCGTCTGAGCCGGTACCGTTGCAGCATTCAATTTGTTGAATGCGTGCACTATCCGCCACCCTCCTGTGGCCTTTCGCACACAGAAGGTCGGAGAGCTGTGAGGGTATGTAGATTCCCTCACATGGTCCGCTGCTAAGCGATCGGCAAAGAACTTGTCGATCGCTAGTACTTGTTCACGAGGCAGTGGCCACTGCTTCATGACACAATATTTCGAGCCCGGTTTGAGCTCGATCTCGTGTCGAGTGCCTTTGTCCTTAGGCAACTCGCAAGGTACGGATTCAGGGAACACACCCCTGAATTCGATCAAATACTTTAACAAAGGATTTGCCTGAAGTGACTCCCAGGATTGAGACGTGTATCGCTCAATCCGAGTCTTCTCATCGAAGACACTTTCGTTCATCGATGAGCTGCTGAGAACCCGTTGATTCTCAGCAAATACTGTTGCCGACCGAATATCGGCCACATACTCACCCTCTGTGACGAGTATGCAGATCTGCTTGACTTTGCCACTACGTAGATCACACAAGAATCGTTTCGGTTCTAGCGTTGGCAACTGAGTTATCTCCGAAGTTAACTTCGGAGGCACAATCAGATCAAGCGTATAAGCGCCTACGCTTGATCCGTCATTAACCAAGACGTTCAACGTCTCGGTTTCTTCATGGGAACTTGCTTCCACAGGTTGCTGAGGGCCTGATCCCTCAGCAAGTGACTCTTGAGGAATTCCTTTCTCAGGCACGTGGGGACTTATTCCCTCGACGTCTTCCGACTGTGGCTTTGCAACCACAGTCAGACACCGATCCTCTACGGTCGACTCTATAGTCGACCTAGGATTTCCATGTTGCCCTTTGGAGGCAACATGTTTCTTCTGTCTAAGATGCTGCCCGCTAGGCATGCATCCATGTCCCGGTCCTCTCGACTTATTCGAGTGGTGGACCTTCGACGCAGCCTGTACTTCTGTATAGCCGCCGGGAGCTTGCTCCACAGTGTAGTGATCAACTACACTGTGATCTTGTGCAGTCGTGCTAACGACCGTACTGCAAGTGAGGCCATCACACTCACTCGCAGAACATCCACACGCTTGTGGACGCTCCAAGATGTTCATCAGATGGCCATATGATGACCAAGCGGTAGGCATCTTCTCGGATCGATGCTGCCAGCTCACCCTTGGCTCGTACTTTCTGAGCCAAGGTAATCCCAGGATGACATCAAATTTGTCATCCAGATCTAGTACGATGAAGCCATCATCGTACTGCTCGCCCTCAAACATGTAGTGGATTCCTACTACACGTTTCTCAACGGTAATCGATGCGCCTGTTGCAAGGCGCACTGTCATCCTCGTGAGGGGAATGTCGCGCTCAACGAACTTGAGCCTACGACCCTCTAGTGACTGGCGTCGAGCAAAGTTGTTCGACGCCCCACAGTCTACTAGGGCACGAAGCGACAAATCGTTTGTCGCTTCCAACTTCAAGGTGATGAGCGAAACGTCATCACCAGGTGCAGAGACACACAATTATTGTGTATCTGGAGCAACTTTCGCCAAGAGATTTGCAAACATATTCTTGAGGTTGCTGGATCAGTAGGGGGCTCCGCCCCTACTAACCCCGACCATTTTTTTGATGGTCCGTGTCGCTGTTGCGGCTTCGCAACAGCGCTGGACCCACGCCCATTGCCCTTTCTGGCAAATGGTCGTCCATTTCGCTCAGTACTGTTTGGTACCGGGCGTGGAGCACTACACTCATATGCATAGTGCCCTAACTTTTGACAGCGATTGCACCTCTGCAATCGCTTGTTGTTTGTAGAGCGAGGCCTCTCGCTCTCAACATAGCAGAGGTCCATTGGTTCTGGACCTCCGATCTCTTGTCGTCTCGGTGGACGATAAGAGTTTGAGCTAGCATGAGCCTGTCTCATGCTAACGTCTTCTTGTTCCGCGGCTGATATCGCTTCTTCAAACGTATTCAGCTCAAGGCGGAACAGGTGGCTCCTGACGGGCCCTTCTGCGAGCCCTTGCATGAACACCGTAATCAACGTGTGTTCATGAACTGGGTTAGCAGTTATACTACTCGCGAGGAGTCGTATATGTTGTGCGTAAGCGTGCACATCACGCTTACCCTGCTTGAGTTTCAGGAGCTCTGAACGAGCCCTGAACTCAGCCCGTGGCGGCTCAAATGTTAGTCTGAGCCGGGACTTGAAGTCATCTAGTGACCTAAACACATGTGGGTCGCTACTCTCGAGCCCCAGGGACCAAGTTCTGGCACGCCCTGCCAAGTGGGTCTGAGCAAATGTGAGTTTCATTTGCTCATCCTCGACGCAACGAGCCCTTAGGGCTCTGTCGAGTTCGACAAACTATAGTAACAGGGAGTCTTCCGGGACTCCACTGTACTTGGAGATGTCAACTTTCATGACTTCGGGACGACGCACATGTGCCGTCCCGCCCACAGCAGCATGGAATTGATGCTGTCTCAACAGCTCTGTCTGTTGAGCACCGATTTCTCTCAACTGCTCGGCCTGTTGAGAGCCTTGCTGGTAAAGCAAGGCTACTTTCTCCTTTTCGGCGACAAGTTCATGTTGAATGAACTTGGCTATAGCGGCATGTTGTTGGTCTCTGTCTAGAGACTCCAACATGGCGCTAATGGCGAAATCGCCTACGGTAGAACTCATTCGTTCTACCGCACCCCGTTCGATGTCACTCAAATGGGTAAACCCTTCACGCGTGGCGTGAAAGGTCTCTTCTTCTTCCAACATGTTCATGTTGGATGTTGTGGTCCTTGGAAGGACTACAAATTGCTACCAGGTGTGACGGGGCACACCCTTGCGTGAACAAAACGCAATGGTATCGGTACCCCGACAGACGTACACGAGGTGAACGAGGAAGATTAGGGTAGGGAAAAGTAAAACTGTAATTTTAATATAATTAAGTCTTTTAACTACTGTCTCTCTGTTTGACTTAACTTAATTATGCTAATATAACTGAGTGTATGGTGACGTCTCGTCACCACTCATTGCGCGCGTCTTGCGGCGATTGGTGGGTTGATCTCATCAAGATATCAACCAATGAACAAACTCTTTGGTCGACCCTTCAATATCACCACTATTGGTGATATTGTTTATATGAATATATAACATAATATTCTTTATTGTCACTTTCTTTAAAGTGACAATTCCATGTAACGGGCTGCCCCGTTACAATATGGACAGACTCCAAATTCTCCGTGACTCAACCTTTTGGAACAAGCATCCTACTAGTCATTGGGTTCCGCCGGTACTAGCACGCACGTCCACGACTCAACGCAGTTGATAGACGCTGCGCAATTACCTTGTTTTACCTATTGCAAAAATAGATAGATCGCCCTTGTAGCTCACCGCGAGAAAGCCACGGAACTCAGCCGAGTGCGAACAGCTCTACAAAAGTCGGGCGGCGTACGTTTCGGGAGTCACAAAGCGGTACGCACCAACGACGCCTTGGGTTACCTTGGCCAGCTCGATAGTAATGCCTAGGGATTGGAGGTTAGCTTTACACGCACACTTCACTTCAATTACGTTGGATGGTATCACGAAAACAGTGCGCGAATAATTTTATAGCCAAGAAGTTGACAGCAGATATCTCGCCTTGGTAGCGTGGCTATGCAAGTCGGCAACGAGCGCTTCTACTGCTATGATGGTCACAGTCTTTTACCTCACTACCACGCCTGAGCTCTGTTACTGCAGCTTGTCTTCAACCTGCACTGAAGCGCCCGAAGTACACCCTTGCAGTAGTTGCCTTGTTCACTACTTCGTTACTCCACGTATGCATGTCGTCCACTACTGTACAAAATGCTTTGCGTACTCGCAGAACTTCCTCCATGTTAGCTTTATACTGTAAGGTGCACACCTGATAATACCATGGAGCCAAAATGCTTACCACGCTGTAGTCAAACGTCCCTACAGAGGTTGCAACGAATGTTTGAGAAACCAATGTGAGAGCCACAGAGAACACATCAGGGCGCAATCCTGCCGATAAAAGTCGGTTTTAATTGCTGGTCCCAGGCAAGACTACCCACCATAGCACATATGATCCACTTCGGGTGCTTGCTTGCCTGCTGTAGCAAAATACTACACGGGCAAACCTTACATGCGCTTTTTACGCGGTTCGCACGACTCCAGCTATAACTGTGATCCACTGGACAAACGAGCAGAGAACAGCGCAAAGCAATACCGAAAACACACGGGAGGCAATGCACGTATGCACTTGTTATTGCTCGAAGTGGGTCGTTAAGTGTTTCGCACGCGATTCCCTGTGCCCATTCCATCAACGCTCATACGTGAAGAACGCCGCCTGGCTATCCCCAAAATCATTCCCTGCTCTCCGTGCCGCCTGCCATCGATGGTAAAGAGCTGATAATCTAGTGCTCTACCACGTCGAAACTGCTTACAAAACCATAAGCTCAGGGCTCTCCATGTAGCTCTTGAACACCTGCAGAAACTGACCGGCAACTACACCATCCACCACGCGACGGTCTGACGACAGCGTCACATTCATTAGCGTAGCAACACGCGGCTCATGGTTTACGCTTCCCATAACATCGAGAGGCGGTAGTACCTCTCTGCGGCCGCCACCGATGGCTAAAATGCATGCTTGCGGTGGATTAATCACTGCTCGAAACTGGTCAACACCAAAGTTGCCAAGGTTTGACACCGTGAACGACCCTCCCTGGAACTCCTCAGGCTTCAGCTTGTTTTCACGTGCGCGCGACACCAGCTCCATAAATATGCGGTTGACACCGCTCAGACCGAGACTGTCTACCTTGGGCACAATTGGAGTAATGAGACCGGAGGCGGTGGCCACAGCCACTGACACATCAACCGATGCATTCGGCTGCACGCTCTGAGTCTTCGTGTCGAAAAAGCAGTTGGCTTCGGGCACGTCGCGCAGTGCTAGAGCCACGGCTTTGAGAATAAAGTCGTTCATACCCACCTTGACGTCGTGCTTGCCCTTTAGGTGTTTGCGAAGCTTCAACAAATTGTCAATTTCGCAGTCAATGCTCATGTAGCTATGCGGCACGTCTCGCTTCGACGCAGTCAGTCGCTTGGCAATGACTTTGCGCATGTTGCTGAGCGGCAGGTCCTCAAACTCATCGTCTGCTGCTGCAACAACAGGCTGCACATCGGCCGCAGGCGCTGCTGCAACCGACTGCACGTTGGCCACAGGTGCCACCCGTTCCTCCAGCATTGCGTGCTTGGACTCAGGAAGGAGCGAGCGTTTGCCCAAGAACTTGATGAGCGGGACGCGAGTGCCTGCCGGCTCTTTGCGCGTCACTGGGGCAGCTGCGACTGGCTCGGCCGGGACCTCGACAGCATTCGACGCGTCGGTCGGTAACGTGGCGAGCGCGCCGCTGCGTAGCAGACTCTGGTACGTGTCCATGTCCTCGACAGTGTAGGCCAGCAATGCACCAATAGGGAGGTCCGCCGTGCCCTCGGGACACACGATCTTGGCCACGACCGCGTCGTCCTGCACTTCATAGTCCACGACGGCTTTGTCCGTCTCCACTTGACACAGCACGTCACCGGCCGAGACTTCGTCGCCCTCTTTCTTGAGCCAGGACGACAGCGACCCCGTCTCCATCGTGGGCGACAAAGACGGCATCGTGAGCGGAGACACGCCGTCCGGTAGTGCGGACGACAAGGTACGACGTAACAGCGGACCGGTGAGCCGCTGAGAGCGCATGGACGCAGCCGAGAGAGAGCGGAGGAGGAAGAGTCCGTGCATTGTCGACGGACAGACGGACGGACGGACGGACGGGAGGAGGAGGAGACGGCGGCAACGATACAGTGGGCAAGAGACAGAGGGGACCAGAGGGACGAGGGGGGGGGGGGCGGACGGCGGTGAGTCGGAGGCAGTCGCTCTTACAATGACTGACGCACAATGGGCTCACAAGCGCCAAACGTTTGTGGCCGATTGTGTTTCGGGGATCTCGAGAGCGGTTTTGGACGGGATTGTTAGGCCATTCCGCAGCTGTATGGATCAATGTATGCCCTCAATTGAGACTCGGAATACATTCATTCGCATGGCCATAGGAGAAACGAAAAGCGATGGAATTAGAATTTGCTGCTGTACTCACTTTGTCCTACGTGGATGTGTCTGTTTGTGTCAATGCCATGGACTGCTGCTTTTTACTCAATGCAGCCCATGCCAGCGAGGAGAAAAGACTGGACAGCCCGCCGCCTGGACTTGGTACAATGTCAATTGCCGTTCTTGTTGACGCTCTGGCGCAAATGTGTGGACACGGAAGAGTGGAAGCCGCGAGACTAAGGTGGTGGTGCATCGATCCGCTTTGACATCCATGAATTGGTTTGTCACACAGCTCGTTCGTGTCGCAAGGCACTGCCACTACCGCTAGTTCGTGTACCACTGCCGCCTGTTCGTGTGCCACCACCGCCATCAACTTTTTCATTCACAATACTTCGCTGCTGCTGTTTCCAGCCTGTGTCCAGAGAGAGCAGCGCATGCATCTTTCGCTTCAAATCGCGCACTTGCACGTATATCAATAACATTCTAAACCATTCTGGATGTCTACGACGCGCTGATACCCTCCCTACAAAGGCAACACAACAGATCAGAAACAGTCAGATCATGAGGCTACTACCGTACGCAGAGTCCACCACGCACAAGATATCTTGTCATGTAAATGCGTACTTTTCAAAAGCTTGCGCGATGCGGTGCGAGTCAAAGGTGCAGTGGATGCTTACGATGCTACCGGCACTCATACTCACGATATCGCACGACTCTTCAGTTATGATTTCGCTGTTGCGCAGAATGCGAAATGTCGTAGATGTCATCACTACTGCTGTCTCCTCATCCTCGTCAACCAAGACACGGAGTACCCGTCCACTACTGCGCTCCACTGTTTCGTCACGAATCTTCCAGTAGTCACATAACCGCTTGTACCCGTGGAACTCGCCCCAGTACGGTACACAGGCTGGCAAATTGGAGCTCAGCACGCAACCGTCGGAAACAGGGTCAATTTTTTCTTCCATCCAGAAAGATGCCGGTGCATCCAAAGGCGACGAGAACTTCAGGGTCGGACCAAACAAGTTGCGGTAAAACTCCATTACCAGCTCCTTCATCTCCTCCTTGCTGCACTTCAGCGAACCGATCGAGCCCAATGAGCCTGACAAACGCTGCTTCGGTGCATCATCAGACAACAGCGACAGACGCTGCTTTGGAAGCGGAAGCGACGGATTGGCGTTCGACACACAGACCAAGACCTCTGTCAGCCACGTGAGACGTGTGTCGATAGAGTCAACCAACACCATAAACGCGCCATGGCCTTGGGTGTTGATTTGGAACCCAAACACATTGTACTGGCCATGCACATGCATAGGAAGGCCTTCCGAAACGGTAAGTGGACGCGACGTGCCGCGAACGAAGGTGCGGTCCTTCGCGTGAGCGTCGCTGATGTAATAGCTCAGCGAACCATCCGAGCGATTGAGAACGAAATAGTATCGCTCCCACACATTCTTGTGGCCTGTCTCGGGGTACTTGTTCTTGTACATGTAACCTGACGTAATGACATTCACCGAAGACTCCGAAGACTTGGATGATGCGACCGGGACATCCGTTACCACCACACCTGCATCGCGGTTCACAAACGTTGTGATGTCCTCGCCACGAGATGTGTCCACTACAAACACGTCCGACTGGCGTGGTGCCACGCTTGGCGAAGCATAAGCTTCGTTGCTCAGCGCCAGCACCTTCTTGTCTGTTTTCTCGTTGTGCGTTGTTACAAGCGATTTCCGTAGACGTTTGAACACATTATTCCAGCCAAACAAATTGCGTTGTTGGCCCTCTCCATTCGTCTGCGAACCATTCGAATCTTGAGCTGGAGGAGCTACCGGAGGCTTGATTACGGAGCCCAGGCGCATAGGCGATTTGAACACAGGTGACTGAAGCACGTTTTTGAAGTAGTGCGATTTGCGCGAGCCGTCACCTTCGTTGTTCGTGCTCGTGTCTGGCTTCTCTTTCGCAGCCTCCTCAGGTGAGGCGGCATCCTCGCTAGATGAAGCAGCCGCCGACTTCGTTTCTTTCACATCAGGGGCAGTCGTAGAAGGTGCTGTGCTCACACCCGCTTTTTGCTCCTCATTTTTATCGGAAGACGTGGACTGTCCATCCACTGTGGCGTCCGAATCAGTGCTTTCAGAGCCTATCGGTGTCGACTCAGGTGCCAGACCTTCCTTCGCTTTGTCTGAATTCCTCTCTGATGACACGCTCCCCGTAGCTGACTTTGAGCCATCAGATGAAGCCGACAGAGATTCGTCTTTCGACGGGTCCATCTCCAAAACACCGTTGCTCTGAACAACCGGGTCTGCAACACAGCCATGTTCGCCACTCGTCGCCTGATCACTCACAGAACTTCTCCTCTCATCGGAGCCACGCCCTAAGTCCGGGGTCTCTGAACCACTGCTGAACCGGGTCTTCTCCGATAGTTTTGCCCACGCAGGGTCACGCTTGCAATGGAACACAACCTGTGCATTATTTTGAGATGGCGCCTTGCTTGTAAAAACTTCGTCAATCACGTCGTGCAGGATAGCGGCATAGATATCAAGCGACGGAATATCTACCTTTGCACGCAGCAACAAACTGATGATGTTTTCAGGCACATCAATGTCAATGCCAAAGAGATCCTTCGTCAGCGGGCAATTTTTTGCTCGAGAAGCATCAGCATCCCGAAGAAGAAACGAAATTGCTGGCACAGTGTGAATGATAAGCATGTCGAACGATGACCGCTTCTCGAGAATGGAAAGATAAGCCTGAATAAGTCCACCTTTGTGCAACTCCTCGTCCACACTTGCATCGTTTAGCAGCACCAAATTGTTCAAATACTTTGCCAGCGAGATTTCTACGGAAGGTGGAAGCCCCTTATTAAACTGCCCTACAAACGCACCACACGTCTTCCGGGCCATATCAAGCACATATGTCCAGAGTGCCTGGCCACGGGGCAGAGACGCCAAATTGTACATGGATGTATCAGTAGCGTCATGTTGTGAGTTCGGATATTGCTCCGATGGAAAGCTGGAGTACCCGAACATCTGAGTGTTTTGAGCCTCCGTTTCGGCCAACTGAGTACTGTCGTCCTCTCGCTCGACGCTATTGTTCAAGAGTCTCTGGCACAGGGATAACAGCTCACCGGCCACGTGGATATTTAGCGCACTAGACGCTTCAGTCAAACTCTTGTCTCGAATGACACCAAGCTCATCCAAGGCACTCTGGAATAGTTCCTCGATAATAACTAGCTGCTTCGACATCTCATCCAAAAGCATGTACTGAAGGAAATTGTGGTAGCCATGCGTCATTGACTCGAAACCACGAATCGTGCCGAACTGATCGCGCACGAAGTACTTGGAAAGGTACACACCGCCCTCGCGACGGCTGAATGCACCCAAACGATCTGCCTGGTTTGCCTGTAGCATGTCGACAAGAAGGTTGGTTGTGTTCTCAACAAGCAGCAGGTTTTCCGCTGACGCTGGGTTCACGCGAGTAGCCCTAGCAATCAAGGGTGCTGCAATCTCCATTGCATCATTCCGTCCAGTAATCGGATGCACACTCTCGTAGCTCTGCAAGATGAGAGTGAGCATGTACTTGATGGTGTTCGAGTAGAGGTGAGGAATGACAACAGGCAAGAAACGCTTCAGCACGTTATTGACATATCCTTCCTCAAGACAGAATCCGTCATGAAGGCGCACGAGCGCTTTGCTAAAAAAGAGAAGCTGCATCTCATCCAGCGGAACAGGGTTTTCGAAAATCGAGTAGAGCTGCTTCCATTTGTCAATGTCCTCTTGCTCCTGACAGCCAAATACAGCTGTGGTTGCAGTCGATCCCGAACTTGAATCGGATGAAAACGACTCGTACAAATCTTCCTCTCCTGTGTACAGCTTCATAATGATCTCAGAGCACAAAAAGTGCTTTTTGTAGTATCCGTACTCTTCATGCGGCTCTCCGCTGAGCACAGGCGGAGTGACAAACGCCGCGAGCACTTGCTTTACCGTCTCGGGCTGCATAAGCCAGAGTCGGATATCAGAGTCGGTGTCTTCCAGAATCTCCAGCACCGGGTCAATCTGCATATCCAATAACGCTGCCAACGTCATTTGTTTTTGATTCATCGAGATCGTAAAAAGCTGTTCATCCGGATACGATGGTAACGATCGTCGACGATACGTATCGGCGTCGTCTAGAAATTTCGACAGACTACCAGTTCGTCCTTCTCGATTCGTAATTACGTCCATCTCGTTCACCGAAAAACTCATCGTCGGTGGTACCGTTGGCTTTTCCATCATGGCTGCATCTTCTTCCAGCAAATCCACACCATCTTCCAACGCTTCATGGAACTCGTCGTCCTCGTCTTCATAGTCCGGCGCCTCCATCACGGCCATCGTCTCCGTCTCTGCCGAATGACCGCCACCGCTTGAACACACGCCAGCACTAATCGTCTGCTCACGTGCAGTCTCTTGTACAGTCTGTACAACAGCCTCTTCGCCAGCCTCTCCACCAGCCTCTTCAACAGCTTCTTCAACAGCTTCTCCACATGCCTCTCCAACAGTCTGTACAACAGCCTCTTCAACGGTCTCTTCAACCGCCTCTTCAACATTCTCTCCGACAGCCTCTTGTATCTCGGCCTCGTCTTCTCCTTCCTGCTGCCCCTTCTGCTGCTCCTCTTCCACGGCTTCGCTGTCCACTTGACTCGTTTCTATGTCTTCCTTCTTCCCTAGGTCTCCATTCGCTATAGCAGACGCGACAGGCTCCTCAAGCGCTACGGGTTCGCCCACGGCCCCCGACGCGTCGTCGGATATCTTAATTGGACGACTGGCGGCATCGCTGGGCGCTGCGGCCGCCTCCGTGTCGTCACGTGGGGTCGCCATGTCGGACCGTGTGGGGAATGAGCGCTCCCTCGTGCTCGTGGTCGCGGCTTCAGGACTCGACGGACGGCGCGACACTAGTCACCGATGCAGGGAGTCACGCTATGCCGTGCATAAAGGGAGAGGAGAGGGGGAGCCATCTTTCATTGGTAGAAAAAGAGTCAGCGACAAAGAAATTGGGGGCCAGCGTTAGAAACGACGACGATAAAGCACGAAGAGGGTCGATGAATGACCTGTACTTAATGACGTAGGCGTGTAGATAGGCGGAGTTGCAATCAGTTGTCAAGTTCGGACCGATTTCAGACTCTTGCTGAAAACGCGGACCTTTACGAAAGAAAGCAAGAAAGCTACAACTGAAGTCGAGGCTCACCATCAGTGATTGAGTTTTAACCGCCGCAATCTCATTGTTACGCCAGCTTATCCACACTTGGTACAGCAAGTTACAGCAAGTGCAGACAAGAGCTCTCTTCATTCTGCTTTCGTCGCGGGATACCCGCGTGTATTCATGTTGCGATAGCGATAAGTTGGGCAGATTCACGGCTGCGCGGGTGTCTTGCATTTGCAGAATGTCAGCGACGATACAAATATGACGAAGAAGTGTTGGGTGCGCAAAAAGTCGTAGCGTTTTTGCTCTAGGAATCACACAGCAGCGCGGAAACCACCGTTGGTGTCAGTACTTTTCCAGTTCACACGGGTTGGCACTTGCAACCAGTGGACTGACACATTGGCATTTGCAGCCGCAGTGAGCCTTAAGAAAGTGCCTTTCTTGGTATTCATCCACCGTCAAAATATCCAGATAGAATAAAGTATGAGATCCTGTCTGGGATCGGACCGAAACCACTACGCGCATCCTCTCTCGTTGTGGCCAAATAGACCTTTCGGCGCTTGTCTATCCACCACGAAAATGCTACTGCAAGTACAGTCAAAAACGGATCACGTAGCCAAGTGCGTAAGCTCCGCGACGCGAGCGCGCAGGCAATCGGCAGCACACATTGAAGGGCGAACGCCCATACATACCCCTTTCACATCCATCTAAACAGTCAACACGACGTCTGCATGCCTCAAACACTAGTGGCGAAATGACAGAGGACGACAGGCCGCAGACGCTTCGGGTCCTCACTCGTAGAAGCCTGACAAGAGATCATATTAAAAAATCACGTGCACATCTCGATGTCCCTCGGATCGGTAGCGTTTTTACCACCGACAACTCCGAGCCACATCCATTGACCTCATCGATCGAATAGGCGGAAACTACTCGAACAAATGCTTGTACTTGGTCTGGGCGAGCTGCACGAATTGGTCGTAGACATCCAGGTCAAAGTTGTCCCCAAAGAGCGTCGTCTTGAACTCCTGAATGGTCTGCGAGTCCATGACACGACCGATCACTTCGACGACTTTACTGCCATAGTCACTGCCTGGCTGCGGTGTCACGTTCACAATGCCCCCGTCCTAGCAACAGCAACAAAGAGCAGCCGACAGAATTACTGGACACTGATCGATCGGCTTATCAAGAGGCAAAAAGCGCTTCGTACTGATGTGCGCAGGACCACAGCAGTCGGGGAGTGGCTCTCGACGGCACCTACAAGAGCGACCGTGTGGCCGACGTAGGCGCCCATGCTCTGCTTGTTGACGCGCGGGGACGTCGCGTTGCCAGTTAAAGCACCGCCATAGTCCATTTTGTGTCGCTCTCGATTGATAGTGGCGCCAAATTACGATCGCATAGAGACGGCAGTGTCAACGATACCTAAAAGGCCAATTGGGTACAGTTTCTACTGCTTATACCATTTCCACAAGTTCTACTACTTCTACTAGTACTAGTACTACTTCTACTACTAGTATTACTAGTACTACTACTAGTACTACTACTACTACTACTACTACTACTACTACTACTACTACTACTACTACTACTACTACTACTACTACTACTACTACTACTACTACTACTACTACTACTACTACTACTACTACTACTACTACTACTACTACTACTACTACTACTACTACTACTACTACTACTACTACTACTACTACTACTACTACTACTACTACTACTACTACTACGACGACTACTACGACGACGACGACGACGACGACGACGACGACGACGACGACCACTCCAAGTCATTCTTTATTTTGGACTCAAATCTGACTACCATCTCAGCAAAATGGGCTCTCCACCTGTTTGGGTCAAAATTTACCGCTGGCAGCATCGACACATGTGCCCGTGACCGTTTTTGCCTGGCAAAAAACTCGTGCTAAAGTCCGACTCCGAGTCCATAGCGCCTGTCGAGGCCGAGTCATACTGATACGTCTGTTTGCCGTTCACCCAGACCCCCGACACGAGATCCAATGCCACTAAAGCGCTCGGATCCCGCGTCACATCTGTGCCCAGCACGACGAAATCGGCGCAATAGCCTGGAGCGAGTTGGCCGAGTGTGTGCTCTGCCATTACTGCAAAGGCGCCACCTTTCGTGTAGAGCGCAAGCGCCTCGTCAAACGAGAGCTGCTCGTTCGGTAGAAACACACGTTCGGGTAGGTCCTCTGTGTGGCGGTGCAGGGCGTCGTACATGCCCTGGAACGGGTTGCACGTCTCAATCGGCGCGTCGCTTCCACCGGCGCAGACAACTGCACTGTCCAGCAGACGCTTCCAGCAGTAGGAAAACGGGACCACCTCGTCGCGCAACCGCTTGCGCACGAATGCTGCGTCACTCACAGTGAACGACGGCTGGATGCTGGCAATGACGCCTTGCTCGCGCATGCGGGCAATCAGATCTTTGCCGAGGATTTGACAGTGCGTGAGAATCGGACGTCTATGTGGACCAACGCCAGCCGCCTGGAGAGCATTTAGTACTTGCTCCACTGCTCGATCCCCTGATGGGCGTGACCATCATCAACGTCCCCGTCAGTCAACTAGTTCATACATAGACATGTTGCTGTCGACAGACGCACCGATTGCATGCACTTCAACGCGATATCCAGCTGCATTCGCGTTGCCAATAAGCTGCGCAAGGTCTTCGTCTGAATGCACGAGAAGGCCTTTGTTGCTTGTACCTTTGTACGGAACGCGCAGTGCTGCGGTTTCCTGGAAGAGCAAGACGTTATCACTCTCCATTGTGTGATGATACCAACGAGTGCATGCGGTACTTCCCTACCGCGCCCAAACTCCCGTCACTGAAGATTTTCATGCGGTGGCACGAAACGAGTCCATTGCAATCACCAGCTTTGGGCACCATAGACTTGCCTAGCTCGTGAATCGATGGTGTCAGATAAACGCGAACAGGCAGACCGTCTTCCGCTTGCAGTTTAGTATACACGCGCCACGCATCCTCATCATTCGTGTGGACAGCCGTTAGACCGGCACGTACACATTTCTTCAGGGCTTCCTTGCAGTAGTCGACACGCAGATCTACGCCACGATGCACACCAGAACATAAGCGGGTGTCAGTCTAATACACAGGGGCAGCAGCAGCAGCAACAATACACTGATCGTTGCGCACCTAATGACGGCTCGTTGACATGCTTTTGCACTAATTGTACGGCCTACGACCGACCGCAGCAACACACGTCTCGATATCAGCCCATCAACTACCTAGTTTGGTCAATATATGCATCACGTCCTGGTCTCTCACATGCTCTTTCAAGATGCCCGTGGCCCCGTCATCGTCCACACCAATTGCCCCGTCTCTATCGTCCTGACTCGTGGCAGTCCATTCCACGCCTGCAATCACTAAGGCTTTTGTATTCACCACTGCAATATGCCAACACGAGCGATGCAGAAGCACAGGGCGATCTTGGATCACGTCGTCGATATCGTGGCGAGACGGATAGCGTGCATCGCTCGAGAGCTCGTCTTGCGCCCAGCCATAACCCACTACCCAAGCTTTGGCCGGATACTGCGCATCGTATTTCCGAAGACGCTCAGTGAACATCTCAAAGGAAGTGCAGCCCGATAGATTGAGCCACTCGGCGCACTCGCCCAGCATCGATACGTGAATATGGGAGTCGTGTAATCCTGGCAGCACTAGTGCGCCATTCAGGTTCTCCGTCTCGTCAGCGGGAGGAGGCGAGCCGGAACCTACTGCAGCGATACAACCGTCGTGCGATACGCTCATCCACTCTGCGTACGCTCCAGCTACGGAGCTGTTGGCATTCCACTGCCAGATTTTTCCATTCACGAAGTTCTTCATCGGTGATTACGATAATTGCCACGGCCGCTGTTGAGCTGCCGGAGATGTTGGGAAATGGATGTGGGATCAGGCGCAACGGCCATCTAGGAAAGGAGGCAAAAAATTGCACAACGAGCTTATCACATGGGAACGGGGTAGAAAATGTATCGCAATGGTCATGCGAGATAGGTCGGAAGGAGCTCTGCAGACAGAGTACTGCTGCTTAATTTGTAGGTCCTTGTTTCTCCATGGTCTCGCAGTCACCAATGAGCACAAGTTGGCGAAAATCACTGCACCGTCAGACATGTTGACCGCCCTTGACAAAGACGTTGCTTGTGACTCAAGAAGCTCTGCAGGTTCATTGCATTACGACGTATACAAAGAACTTGCTACATTCTCGTTGTTAGCAACGTAACGTATCTTAGCATCGACGCCTGAAACCGGGGCTGTTGTCAAACAGTTGTGCAAAGAAATACTCGACTACTGCTCGCATCGATGTCTGAACGGAGTATACATGCACATTTTTCCAGCACTTTGTATTGTTCGTTTCAGATATCAACCATTTGATCATAGCTTCCCGGATGTACCTGCACATCCATTATTTTGTCCAGAAGTTTCTGTTTGCCGCCCGTCGCCCTGGAAAGACGACGACTTTGTCCTGGCTGGATGACCGATTTATTTGCGCATTACACCGGTTCGAATGCGTATAATAGACGCGCAACACGATCCGTAGATCGTTGCTTCATCGACTTAATAATAACTAAGTTGATCCGATGCACGGCGTCAATCCTGAGAATGCATGTGCTTGTTGATCCTACGTACGCAAGATCTATATGCTCAAGTTGCGTAAACCGTATCGACTCGTGCATAAAACATTTCGAACAAATTGAAGTTTGAGACGCTTGTGGGTAAGATGCAAGATGCAAAGTGGATAAAAAAATGATTATTTTTCTGTCGTTTACGTGTTCGCTTCTCTGAGTCTACTTTCTTCAAATCAATCAAGCATCAATCAATTGATCCATGCATCCCATCATTTTTTTTCTTTTTGTTCGGTAGGTACAGCCTGTACATTTAGTTAGCCTAACGACATGTCACTGTCCTCTTCGGGGCGGGCCTTCACATCCCTTCCCGGTCGTGGTATCGTCCCACGGGACGGGCGCTGCTTACCGGCTGCTCTGGTTGCCTATCGTATCGGATAGCCCAGCTATTAGTTGTTGGGGGTTGAAGCTTCTTCGAGAAGCCTTGCTAGCTGGTACTTTTAAAAAGTGAAAATTGAGTAAATGAAATGACCTGTATTAAAATGCGCGCCAGACACATTTCGGCCCCCCGCCAGGGGCCTCGTCAGTGGCTTGTCAAAATACAAGTGAGAACTACCCAACCTATATCTTTGTGCTGCCTAATACAACACATAGAGCCCTGTAGAACGTTCCATATATGCTCTAGTGTAGATTGAATCTCTGGAGTTGACCCAAGTGCAACTTGCACTTCCAGCACTCCCCCTCGACGACATGAGACGAAACCGCCTGAGCATCCATCGTCCGTACCGTCCTGTCTTCTCTGCAGGCTCCAATGGGGCTGTCTACCTTCTCTTCGGCCAACTTCCTTGTTGCTCGCTTGGTAGGTTATCCTAGCTCCCCATTGTCCGGACCGTGTCTCATCTTGACATCCTTCATTCATCGTCGAGCTTGTTTTCTTGTTCTCTCTTGCTCTTGACCACTTCAATACCACCATCACTCCACTTCACGTAACCTTCACCTTCAGTTGCAGAGCTTGGTTGTCCCTTTCGTGAACGCAAATAGCGACTGCTTGTCCACCGTGCTCTTACGTAGATCTCCATCGTCGGACCATATCCCATCGTGACTTCGTGGACAAACTCTCACCCAGAGCACATCCCGTGTACAACGCAGCACCAACCCAAGCCGCTTGGGCTCATAACGTGTTACAAGGTAGCGGAGCGTCGAAGGGAAGAACACTTGTTGGTCGAAGCAGCAGATCCAAAAGAACAAGAATACAAGCTCGACGATGAATGAAGGATGTCAAGATGAGACATGGTCTGGACAATGGGGAGCTAGGATAACCTACCAAGCGAGCAACAAGGAAGTTGGCCGAAGAGAAGGTGGGCATCCCCATTGGAGCCGCAGAGAAGACATGATGGTACGGACGATGGGTGCTCAGGCGGTTTCGTCTGAACAATTACCGGGGTTCCCGGGGTGAACAAGTGCATCTAGAGTGTCGCCCCTTATATAAGGACTTGGGATGGTCTGACAGGGAATCAAACCCGCGCCACTTTCTTGGCACGAGCGGTGCTTATTCGGGGCACCAGGAGGGAAAACCCATTTTTCATCCAATCAGTCAAATGTCTTGTCTCATCTCGTCGCTCGTTCTTAACCTTGTGACAGCCGTAACTACTTCGATTATATAACGTAGTTGAAGTATTCAGCGTCATCTGTTGTTGTGCCTGGCGTCTTGATAACATTCTCTTTCGATTCGTTATCGACATGCCTTCTTGATCCCTGGTATGTTCCAAAACAGCATGAATAGCAATGCAGTTATCGGCTCGATCATGAGGTGGGTCCTGATGTCCTTAGTCGAGCAGTATACCAGAATCACTATATACATCAGCACCCTTCTTGCGTGCAAAATGTAAAAGAATGTCGACGTGTGTAATGTGCTAGCGGAGCTTTAATTTTCTGACCAGCGCGGTCGATCCATGGCTGCCTTCAAAAATCTTGACTGCTTCATTGCTTTTCGTTTCATCAAGCTCTCTCATTAACACCTTGAGGTATACAGCCTCCTGTGTAGCCTCCTATCGCGCTATGAGATCTGATTCTATTTGATAAAGATATCAACAATTACTTTTTCTGCTTCAGCTGATGCCCCTGCCGTTGAACATGAAGTGATAGCCACTTTTTCTTTGTAGTAAATCTATGCAGCAAGTCTAGTCCGCAATTTGGTAGCGTTCGATGATAGAGTCATCACCTGCTTGAGCTAGATACCATGCGTCTTCGTGAATTTAAAAGTCGAACTTCATTCGTGCAGTGATAGACAGTACAGAACGGCTCCGTTTGTACAAGACCATCCAGGCGCAAGTCAAACGACAACTTGTGCTGAATTAGATTGGGCGCGGTGGAGATATTCCGATAAGTCGCCGAACGACCCATGCGATTATAGACATGATTCTGGAATCAGCGGAGTTGGCGCGTGTAGACGTATACGAGATACGCCAGATGCTGGGGCTGACAAAGACCATCAGCTACAATCGAACGAGGAACAGTATCCACTTCTACTTCGTTTCTAGGACAACAGTGAAGGGTTGGACCTCGTGGGCACGAAATGGCCTTTACGCAGATTGTTCGCAAGCTGGCCGGCCAATATATTCGAAAAGAGGTTCGGTGTTAAACCTATGGGCGCAAGTCGTTCGCCAAGTACCGCAAGAGGAACGGACTAGTGACGCTGGATCAGGACGTACCGTGTACGAAGACGTCATGTTCAATCCGACAAAGGTTTTGTCTGCGGAAGTAATATGTTAAAAACGCTGTGCACTACCGGAATGGGTCTTGCGAGGGCTCGCCGGGTGCGTGAGGGGACGGATGACGAGTGGAAGGTTATCATCGGTATTGATGAAGGGCACATTGCTTGCAGTCGCATACCGTGCTTCCTTCGTGCAGTGATGGACAGTACAGAACGGCTCCGTTTGTACAAGACCATCCAGGCGCAAGTCGAAGGGCGACTTGTGATGCATTAGATTGGGCGCGGTGGAGATATTCCGATAAGTCGCCGAACGACCCATGCGATTACAGACATGATTCTGGAATCAGAGGAGTTGGCGCGTGTAGACGTATACGAGATACGCCAGATGCTGGGGCTGACAAAGACCATCAGCTACAGTCGAACGAGTAAAAGTATCCACTTCTACTTCGTTTGTAGGACAACAGCCAAGGGATGGAGCTGGCGGGCACGAAATGGAGCCTTTACGCAGATTATTTCGCAAGCTGGCCGGCCAACATAAGTCGAAAAGAGGCCCAGGTGTTGAACCTATGGGCGCAAGTCGTTCGCCAAGTACCGCAAGAGGAACGGACTAGTGACGCTGGATCAGGACGTACCGTGTACGAAGACGTCATGTTCAATCCGACAAAGGTTTTGTCTGCGTAAGTAATATGCTCAAAACACTGTGCACTACCGGAATGGGTCTTGCGATGGCTCGCCGGGTGCGTGAGGGGACGGATGACGAGTGGAAGGTTATCATCGGTATTGATGAAGGGCACATTGCTTGCAGTCGCATACCGTGCTTCCTTCGTGCAGTGATGGACAGTACCGAACGGCTCCGTTTGTACAAGACCATCCAGGCGCAAGTCGAAGGGCGACTTGTGATGCATCAGATTGAGTGCGGTGGAGAAATTCCGATAAGTCGCCGAACGACCCATGCGATTACAGACATGATTCTGGAATCAGAGGAGTTGGCGCGTGTAGACGTATACGAGATACGCCAGATGCTGGGGCTGACAAAGACCATCAGCTACAGTCGAACGAGTAAAAGTATCCACTTCTACTTCGTTTGTAGGACAATAGCCAAGGGATGGAGTTCGTGGGCACGAATGGAGCCTTTACGCAGATCATTTGCAAGCTGGCCGGCCGACATAAGTGGAAAGAGGCCCAGGTGTTTAACCTACGGGCGCAAGTCGTTCGCCAAGTACCGCAAGAGGAACGGACTAGTGACGCTGGATCAGGACGTACCGTGTACGAAGACGTCATGTTCAATCCGGCAAAGGTTTTTTCTGCGGAAGTAATATGCTCAAAACACTGTGCACTACCGGACTGGGTCTTGCGAGGGCTCGCCGGGTGCGTGAGGGGACGGATGACGAGTGGAAGGTTATCATCGGTATTGATGAAGGGCACATTGCTTGCAGTCGCATACCGTGCTTCCTTCGTGCAGTGATGGACAGTACAGAACGTCTTCGTTTGCACAAGACCATCCAGGCGCAAGTCGAAGGGCGACTTGTGATGCATTAGATTGGGCGCGG